GGGGGGGGGGGGGGGGTAGTGGCAAGAGGAGGCAGGGGCATGAACACAAAGACACCCCCCCTGAGGCTGGCTCCTTACCCTGGATTCACAGGCTCTGACTCCAGGGGGACTCTTCGGGTCTTGCCAAGGGAGGCCAAAGGCGAGCTCATAGTTCTACTTCTAGATTTTAGCTGTCAGGAACTCCCTGAGAAGAAAGAAGGAAGTCAGTCCTTGGGGACAGAGGGGACCCAGGGCTTCGGGACCAGGGAAACATCCTCTTCCTGGCCCCTTGTCCCAGGAGGGAGCTTTGTCCAGGGAGCAGCACCCCTCACTTCTTCCCACTCCCCTGAAGAGGTTTCTGGAGGCATCTTTGCCTCAGGCCCCCTGTGCTGGATGTCTGCCCGATCCTCTGGATATCCTGCTCTCTGCTCTGATCCTGGAGGCCCCTGGCCTGGCTGGGAAAGGGCGATGGGGGAGGGGTGGGGTACAGAGATGGGCTGGAAGCCTGGGACTCTCCCAACTTAGAGCCGGGGCATAAGACTACCCAGAAGGCCCGGAGTTTTTGTCTATCCATCAAGGAGCTGGTTGACACAAAGCCCAAATGTCCCCTCCCCTCCCACAAGAACCCAGGTATCACTCTGATTCTCAGAGCCACAGAGGGGCAACCCAAGGGCAGAATGCGGCCAAGGCACTCTTTGTGGAAGGGAGGTCAAGGGCCCAGGCTCTGCACAGGCTCTGCCATCCACCAGAATAACCCGTGCCTTGGCTTCCTTGGTATAAAGTGGGGTTGGTGGTAGTACCAGCCAGGCAGGGTTATCAAAGGGATTCAGGGAAAACTTACATAAGGCACGGAGCCCAGTGCCACACTGAAAGGAAACACTTAAAAATGTGAACTGTGGGGGCGCCTGGCCGGCTCAGTTGGTGGAGCCTGCAACTCTTGATCTCAGGATTGTGAGTTGAAGCCCGACGTTGGGTATAAAGATTACTTAAAAATAAAAAAAACTTTAAAATTTTTTAAAGAACATTTATTTATTTTTGGGAGACAGAGAGACAGAGCGCAAGTAGGGGAGGGGCAGAGAGAGAGGGAGACACAGAATCGGAAGCAGGCTCCAGGCTCCGAGCCTGATGAGCTCGAACCCACAAAGCATGGGATCATGACCTGGGCTGAAGTCGGATGCTTAACCGACTGAGCCTCCCAGGCGCCCCTAAAAAAAAAAAATCTTTAAAAAAAATAAATAAGCTAAAATAAAATCTTAAAAAAAAATTTATTATTTTTTTTAATGTGAACTGTGGCTGCTGTGACGTTTGTTACTAGACAACGGGGACACTCACACATGCTCATTTCCCTTCCTCCCTCTTTCCCTTCCTTCCCTCTTCCTTCTGGAAAGATGAATGCACATCAGGGATGGAATTAAAGACCACTACTCTATTCAATGAATTAAGTATATTATGTGGCTAGTATCTAGAAATCCTAGAACCAAAGGACCTCTATCAGGGCTTGAATCAAGTCTTTTTAGGACAAATCCAAGGCAGTTCCACTTTGAAAATGTGTGGCACTGGCTTCCACTGGTGCCCCTGAAGCCTCCCAGCAAGGGGACTGGTACCAGCTGGAGACGGCCTTCTGGAGTTTGGGACTCATGCCCCCATCATCCAGCCTTCCAAATATGCTCCTAGCCTGCCCCAGTCCCTGCCGGCTCATCCAGGCATCCTCATGGTTTTTGTGGCCAAGTGTGATGGCCCTCGTGGTCCCCTGTGCCAGCCTCCAGCCAGAGGGCTCTTCTTAAACACAAAGCTGCCATGCCGCTTCCCTGCTAAAAGCTCCCAATGGCTCCTTCTCACCAGAGGAAAGAAATTCAAAATTCCATAACACAGGTGATCGGTCCCCGCCCGGGTCTCCTGACCTCCCTCTCCCATCTCTCCTCTGCCCCACCCTCCGCCCCCACACTTGAGCCAGCCCAGCCTCCAATGCACCAGGCCTTTACACACATGGCTCCCCTGGCCTGGAACCCCTTCCTGGAATGTGGTCCCCACTCCTAAGTGCACCCTTCCCTTGGTTGGGCTCTTTTTTTTTTTAATTGTTTTTGTCTGTTTTGTTATATTCTAAGTTTTTATTTTAAAATTACAGATTCACAGGAAACTAGGAAAATAGTACAGAGGGGATTTGTGTGCCCTTCACCCAGTGGCTCCCAGCAGTGACATTTTACATTACTATACGTGTGTATCCTACCCTGTTCTGCTATTTCACCCAGGTAACCACTAATGCAGTCAAGATAACTACTCCATCACCACAAAGATTCCATTTCCATAACGATCTCCCTCATGTCAGCCCCTTGCTAGTCACACCCACACTCCTCCCTCTACCATCCCCAACCCCTGGCAACCACTACTGTTTTCTTACTTCAAGAATGTTCCATAAATGGAATCATACAGTACTGACCTTAAAAAAAAAAAAAAAAAAAAAGAGCTTTATTGAGATCTAATTCACATACTTAACCCTTTCAAAGTGTATAATTCAGTGGTTTGTAGTGTATTCTTAGATTTGTGAAACCATCACCACAATCAATTTTTAGAACGTTTTTATCATGCTAACAGGCGATGTTCCTTTTGTGGCTAACACTGCCCTCCACGAACTTTCATCAAACCCGATCATTCCCCCTTCTCCAAATTTTCATCACCATAACGACCCTTCAAAAGAAACTGGTTAAAAAAAAAAGACAGAAATTAACAAGTGTCAGTGAGGAGGTGGGGAAATTGGAACCTTAGCTGGAATGTAAAATGGTGCAGTAGCTGTGTAAAATGGTCTGGCAGCTCCTTAAAAGGCTGAACAGTTACCTACCTGGCTCAGCAATTCTGCTCCCAGGGGTGTACCCAATAGAAATGAAAACTTACGTCCACACAAAAACTTGTATACATGTTCATAGCAGCATTATTCATAATATCCAAAAAATGGGAACAACCCAAATGTTCATCAACCAATGAATGGATAAAGAAATCTGATACATCCTTACTATGGAGTATTCTCGGCAATAAAAAGAAATGAATCCCATGTTGCCACATGAATGAATCTTGAAAACATTATGCTAAAGGAAAGATGTCAATCACAAAATACCACATGTTATGACCCCACTGATATAAAATGTTCAGAATGGACAATCTGGAGACACAAAGTAGATTAGTTGACTAGGGCTGGGCGCAGCAGGTGGGGGTGGGGGTGGGGGGGGTTAATGGGAGTAATTGCTAAAGGGTACAGAGTTTCTTTTTAGACTGATGAAAATGTTCTAAATTGTGGTGATGGTTGCCCAACTCTCATGAATATCCTAAAAACTACTGAAATTTACATTTCAAAGGCGTGAAATACATAGCATGGGAATTATATCTCAACAAAGCTATCACAGAAAAAAAGGGATCTGGTCCCCAAACCAAACCCAACATCTTCCCTCAAAATAAGCTCCTCCCACTTCTCCCTTCTTAATGGGGCCACATCATCCAACCACAAAATTTTCCTCTCCTTCCTTCTCTCTTAATCCCATCAATTACCATATCTTGTGGGTTAAACTGCAGTGTCTCTCACAGAGCTCCTCCTTTCCATGCCTACTTTGGTCATCCTAGTGGGGCTCTCACTGCCCTTCCTTGGGGCTATCACAACGGAGGCCACCTGACTTCCCTGATTCCTGTCTCACTCCAGGCCAATCCAACACACTGTCTCCAGATTAATTTTCCCATGGGTTATAAGGGACCCCTGAGCGTGACGGCTGCCTCTCCCTATAGTCTGGGGACTCCTCAGCGCAGGACTCCGTCTCCTCCTCCCTCAGACCGCGGGTGGGCCGGAGGATAGAGCCACGTCTACTCCCCTCACGAGGGGGCTTCCAGGGGCTGTGACCTCCCCCTCAGGCTGGAGGCTCCTAAAGGTTGGACTGTCTCCCCTTCAGACCGGGGCTTTGAGAGGAAAGCTGTGTCCCATGCCCCTACATCTTTGGGACCCAAGTCAGGGCTGTGCTTGACTGATAACGTCCTTCGTCGCACGTACTCAGCCTGTTGGCACCCCCCACCCCAGGCCCCAGTGCTCTCCAGCGCCGACAGGACCCGGCCGCCTGCACGCCTTCAAGTCCTCTGTCTCCAGCTGGAAGCGCTCACGACGCGACTTCTGTCACGACCTAACCCTTCCCTGGGAGCTGCGTCGCCTCCTCCCGCCTCCTCGGGAAGCCACGGTCGGCGGGGACTCGAAGCCGCTCCCATGACGCGAGAGGCTGCTGGGCAACCCGGCCGCGGGGCTCGCGGGTCCTCGGGCTCTCGGAGCAAGGACCCCAGCCTGCGTGGAAGACTCCGGAGCCGCAAAGGTTTGAGCAAAGACTCACCACGCAGGGCCACCGAGCCGTCCCGCGGCGCCGCCATCTTGTTGTCACGCGGTTTCCCAGGCGACCGGGACCCGTGCGCTTCTCATTGGCTAATTCGAGAGTACCGCCGCCTGTGCTCGGATTCTATTGGCCCACGAGTCTGAACTCTTCGCGGAATGCTGCAAATCCCAGAATCCACCACTGTGAGGGGACTCGGGAGTCTGGAGAAATGGAGGGTTTCTTTATTCCCTCCCCCCGCGAAAGTGGGGAGACTCACGAAGCCGCTGAAACCTGAATGTGTAATCGGACAATGCAACCGTTTTCGCTAAGTTGATTTTTGGGGGAGATTATCCCGCTGAGTCTGTTTCCCCATCTGATCAGTACAGTACATCGCGGGGGCTTTTTTGAGCATGAATTGAAATGATGCAAGTACTTAATAAATGTTTCCTAAATCTGAATTTCTCTGCTCACTTCTTAACCAGATGGCGCCTTACAGGGATGCTCAAATCCTTGTTCCTTTGTGTAAAAGTTCAGGTGAGACTCCCTTTGCCTTTGGATAAGACATTGACTTTGAGTGAGACAATTCTCCCCAGCTTCATCTTAAAAAGTAAGATGTTAGGTTAGATCAACTAGAGAACATGGACTCTAGTCTCAGGAGTCCAGGTGTCTGACTTGTGTGTCCTTGGGCAAGTTATGCGCCTTAGTTTCTTCATCTGTAAAATGGGGATAATACCCTCCCCCCCAGGGTTGCCCTGAGGAGTAAAGGAAATAACGTATTCACAGTACCTATCACAACACCCATTCAAAGTAAGTTTTCAAAAACATTTCCTGCTTTT